AGCAAGCTATTTCAGGGATTTTGATTACCATTCCATACCACTCAAGCTTCACGTCTGCAATTTATGAGTTCTCAACATCTTGAGCACATTAGTCAACCCAAGAATATATAAAATGGAATGGTGTGTATTACATTGACATATTACATACCCAGGTTATGAATTCAGTTTTAACCAAAATGTCTTTTGAAGATTTTGAAAAAAGGAATAATGACGAATTAAGTGTAATTTTCATTATTTTATAAACATTCCACTGTTTTTTTCTTCCTAATGCCCTGCACCTCCTCTCAAAAGGAGTTTTTTTCTGCTCCTTCTTCCAGGGATGCACAGGTGCCCATCACTCTACAGTACATCACCCAAGTGGCCCTTATCCACATGTGAGCCTCAATAGTAATTGTTAGCAGGGTATTCATTTCATGGGGTCATGACACGCAAGCCCAGTCCGATCCACACCTGATCGGATTTCAGCTTTACTACTCATTGTATAATTACATCAAGCCAACTGCTTTTTCAGCAGCAATGGAAAATTAAAGTAGTTTCGCCCCCTCTGCTGTTTTACCAAGATATTGCAGATTCCACAAGCCCCACAACAGTATCAAGAAACACCTTGGCAAGCATCAGCCACAGTCCACCTGCATGATGCAACACTTCAAACAGATAAACCCGAATTTATAAACTGCTGCCAGGAGGCTGAGGATTTAAGAAGGAATTGATCAGCCACCATGAGAATATTTGATCTGAGGAGGTGAAACAATCAAATGTTAACGCCTACAGAATAGTATGTAATTAAAAAAGCAAGTTTAAAGATCAAAGATGAGTTACTGAAACACTAATTGAAAAGGACAGAAACTGAAGTTAGAATTACAAGTTATCAACTAAGGATTGCCTTTGACCTTTTTCAACTTGCCAATTGTAATTTATATTCTTTCTTTAATTCCATCACTGAAAATACGCAGCTAGTCCCGTGAATTAGTGGAAAAGTTATGTGGGCTATTTTCTAGTTAGGATTCTTTTAAGCTTCCTTGCTTTTAGAATGTGGTGGTGTTAAATTATTCTTAACTAGTTATGTTACCTCAGCTACTCTGCATGCAATGTTGGTGGCTTTGTCACAAAATAATTGCTTTGTAGAAGAAGTTCTCCAATTTACACAGAATATCAGTTTCTCAAAATATAAATGAGGGAGACCAGGCCTCACTGTGATGCTAGAACCCATTGTTTCATAGCCTGCTCAGGTACACAGAGGCAAAGTGTTAAATGCCATCCAGAATCAACTGAACTGCATGCTACTTTGTAAAAGGAGGGGAAGGGGGAAACTTTTATATAGAAACTTTAAACCTCTACTCCAAATACACTGGGATATTAGGAGCAGCACAATCTGCAGTACATTTCTTTGTCCTCATTCCTAAACTCATAAAGAATTCTTGAAAGGAGAAGTAAATGCTATGAAGCATCACTATCACAAACCAGACTCAAACAATATCAATGACCACTTCAGTGTTTGAATTGTCAGCTTTTATTGTACTGGGTTTCCAGATCAGAATGTGTACAAACCCCATGGACTTATACATTTATTCACAACTGAATTCAGGAGATCACAACAAGTCATCCTCAAGCTGTACATGCTCTGGTTAGTGTACATTGATGGTGTGCCCATACCCAAAAGATAGTGCAGAGAAGAGCAATGAGGATGATGCCTAGTGCTGGAGGGTTGAGCTAAGGCTTTTCAGTCTTGAAAAGAACATTCTTAGAGGGGGCTTTATAGAGGCGTATACAACAAATTTACTTTTATTATAGTGCCTTTCACTTCGGGAGAACATCCCAACGCACTGAATTAATATGCTTAATAGGATTAAGTAAATCAAGGATAATGTTTTCAGTTACACTAAGGCATCAGCAGAAAAGGGCAAAGATTTAAGGATGTTAAAGCTAATTTTAATTTAGGTTTCCAAGAAGGGTGGTATAGGCCATTTGAAAACAACTTTATGTTACAACTAGCTGTACCAGTTGCAGCTTCACTTGCAACCAAAGTATCCGATATGGAATGTAGATTGACACAATTCTAGAAGGACTGGCAGGATTGCATGCCAAAAGGTCTTCTTCATCTGAACCTCTCATGAACACACGTTTTCCATAAACATAATCCCATTAAGGAAGATTAGTTTAAAAGGTAATGCAATTGTGAACGATAAATCTCAGGAAACTATTGGCTGCTGCAAGCCTTCCTTTGAAACTTGAGTCGGGGCATACAGCTACATTTAAAGAAAGACATTAGCATTTTAATTAATTTTAAGTAATTTTAAATGTAACATTCAACAAAATTATGTTATGTTGGAGGATATATGGTGTACTGATCAATTTCAATCCCATGCTATCAAGTTGTCTATAAATTGCATATCAATGTAAAACACTCAGCAAAGTCAAGCACCTAGAAAAGGAAAGAGGAGGGAAATATGAGATAACATCGGAATGAAGGCTCTCCCGTTGCCAGTCCTGAAGGTGTGCATTGTTGCTCCACTGTCCCTGCTTCAGTCTCAGGAACGGTAACATCTAGTCTTTCAGACAGCCTCACACAACAGCTGAACTGAATTTGAGAGGTTTGCATTCCCCATTACATAGCTTCGTAAAATAACTTTGTTTTCCATTTAACAATACACCTACTTTAAACCTACAAATGAAAAAGTATGTGGAGTTTCAAAACCAGTGTCACACAGTATCTCACCACAAGATATTTTCAAAATGACTCAGCTGCTCTTGCAGAATAAAGTGTTCACATTTCATTTTTCTTGTGGCTTGGAAAGAAATATATTTTCCTAAAAACAGTATAGAAAAAAACAGCAGGAGGAATTGAAAGCTTAAAACTTCAATCTTATATATCCTCTAGGATTTTATTGTCAGCCTGGCTCAGTTGGTAGTACTCTTAGTTCTGAATCCCTCGAGTCCTGATCCCTGACTGTTCAGCGCCTTGGGACGTCCTCCTGACATGAAAGACACTTTACAAATGTAATTTTGTTGTTGTTGAATCAAAAGGTTGTGGGTTCAAACCATACTGGACTTTGAACTCATATAGTTTAGACTGATATTCCAATGCAGTGCTGGGAGTGTGCTGCAATGTTAGAGATGCTGTCCTTCAGATAAGACTTTAAACCGAGGCTCTATCTGATTGTTCAGGTGAAGGTTAAAGCACCCAAAGTACTAGTCAAAAAACAAGGGAGTTTCTCCCAGTGTCTTGGAACAACAATCCCCCAAATGAAATTAGTTGTTCACAGCTGTTTACCGGACACTGTGTGCAAATTGGCTGTGAAGAGCATATCCTGTGAGTGCTGCGAGACGTTATCCAGATGTGAAAAACACTATACCAAATGCAATATTTTATAATTATTGTTATTTTACATTAAAATCTTGAGTAGAAGAAGGACATGGTTTTGTTATTTTGAGAGGATGGGAATGCCATTATTTTATCCCAGCCCCGGCCACGAATCAAATTAATGTACATACATTAAACATTTTAGCTAACATTTCGAAATACGTGCACTATTTCTGCACTATTTGTGGAAAGTGCATAAGATAGCCATTGTGCTTGGTTTGTGGAATCTCAGGTTTGGTTTTGGGATGCCTGCGATTAAAGACCTGAGAATCTTCTCATGATTGTTTCTATAAGGAATTTTTTAATCAAAATGTTTTTTTGGCAAATAAGTATTTTATTGTACATTACAGTCCTTTACATTATCTGTGTCAGAATGCTAATTGAAAAACACGAGAAACTTTTGTGAAGCTATATAGAATAGCACAGTAATAATCTATTTCAGTTATATGCGCACACAAACAGAGCGATATGGTTTCCACCACCTTGCCAAGCAATGTATTTGCATATCCTGCCTACGTGTTGAACTTTTTGGAAACTGTAAATAATTTGCCAACATATGGTTCATGGGGTTTATGGCACACAGCCAGAAATAGCTGGTGAACAAAACTACCACATACAACTATCCCACAAAATACTATTTCAATGAAAAAAATGCATTTTGTGCACAACCAATACGCTAGTATATATAAAGCACAAGCTTTGCTCAAGCAACAATGACTTACAACATTCGAATTAATAGGGAAAGAATTTGTAAATGATAAAAAGAGAAGAATTGTTCCTCATTATCCCTCATACCATTAACCCTCATACTATAGAGAATACATCCAAGTCTCAGATGGAAATTAGGTAAGTTTGCTAGAAGAACCTACTTATAAATGTTGATTTATTCCATTGAAAATTGTCTAAATGGTCTGCAAGAACCTTTGATGCCATCTAACTTTGCAATCCCATTACATGAAATTACACAACTCATGCATGGATATTGTAACTTAAAAATCTGTTATTTCTATCGCCAGTAGTACAAGTTTAAAAAAAGATCTGCATTTGATCAGTTAAACATTTGCATATCAGAAGTTTAATTTTTATATCACTTTGCCAGTTCTGCATCCAAAAAGTTAAGATATAAGATAACCCACTGAACAACTGACCAAAGTAGCTCATGTGAACAAAAATCAAATTGCTTTGTTAAATTATCTAATAAAATTACAGTGAATTGTATTTTCAGGATCACTTCTACAATTGGAAACAATAGCAAATAGGCTCAACAAACCTATTTGCCTCACTGTATGTAGCTCTTCTCAATTGGAAACACACACTTCAGTGGAATGCTTAGCATTTTTAACAGGCTGGATTCAGCTGTGATTAGCAAAATTTGAATACATTGTAAATTAATACTCTTCAGGTTCAATAATAATTCACTCAAATTTCTCAAAACATTTACCCAGAAGAAGACATGGATTTAAAGCCGTTAGATTACAAACGTTGCCTCTTTACCCGATTTCTTCTGCTTTTGACATAAGAAATCTTACTCTCTTTCCTTACCCCCCCACTCCACCGCCAAAAAAATTATACTTTATAACTTGACCTTCAGTTAAAAATGGTTCCTAATGCATCAGTTTTAAATAAAACACATTCTTACCACAATTGCTGGAGAGTAAGTCTAGCTGTGCTGCCATTTAGTCAACTTTTTAAAAAAAACTTAAGAAAAAACACTAATAAAAATTCTGCAGATTACAGCAGCTGCATTTTTGTGTAAGTCCAGCTCACCGCCTGCAAGTTACAAGGAAGAACTTTCCTGAAATGTTTTAACAGCACAGTGACTGAGACGAGTTGCACAGAAAAGGAACAAAGGTTAAAATGAATGAGTGAAAAGTAGGCTAACAGAGGTGTGGCAACTGAAACCTGACTGGACTACGTCACATAATTAGGACTTTGGCAAACAAAGTTTCCTGTATGCAAAACTACAGATAGGCTCATATTTTGAGAGATTAAGTCTATCTGACGCTTTACATATGAACGGTTTTATATTCAAGGCCACTGCAGGCAGGAAGTGGTACCATTGTAATTACTTACTGTAAATGAATACATGAAACAAAACTGTAACATACAGTAACAGCTGTCTCTCTGCCTTAATGCACTGCAACAACATGTATTGGGTCAGAAGCCAAAAGGCAACATTTGAGAGAAGTACTCCTGATGAAATATAAAAGTACTTAATGTGCAACATATTTCTAAATTAAAAGCTAGAGAAAAGTGTATCATTTTAAAAATGAAAGGATCCACAGTAACTTATGCATTACATTTAATTCACAGTTTTAATTTGTTTAAACAAATCACATTGCTTGGCAAACAAAACACACTTGTAGATTTTAAGATCTAACGACTATCACTGAATAATCGGAAACTTCAAGCAGGAATGAGGACAGCCTTTTTTTCCTATCAAAATAGCCTGTTCGCATTTGAGGTTCTTCCCTCCAAACTGTACTCTCCTTGGCCAACTGACTCTTGTCGGGTGAATGCAGTACTTTATAATAATAATAATCTTTGCATTTGATATAGCGCTTTATTTTGTCATCAAGACGTCCTCAAAATGCTTCACATGATATAATGTAAAGTGGTTTAACTGTATGTGCTGTGGGGGTATGGTGACTATCAGCATAATAGATATAGATAATAATGCAATGGTCACAGTGAACAATGGATGTTCTCTTGTATGAATGAATGCACTTAGTAAGCGAGTGACATATCACAAGAACTGTTTATCTACACTCAATCCAAGCTGTTTCTGACACATGGAAGTCCTCATCACTGCTACTGGAAAAGAGAAGAATAACGTACCGATGTTCACTGCTCCTGTAATCAGAGTACTAAGCTATGTAAACTTAACAACACAACTTGATGATAAATGGATAGATTAAATAGTAAATTTAAGAATTATTTTTCTCCTATCCCTATTTCCCATCAAATATAGACTCTTATCAGTATACAGATTCCCCATTCAAGAGGATGGACTGGAGAACGTTACATGAGTGGAGTCCATCTTGGACGACCATCTTTTCACTGCCAAAATAATCCATCAGCTACACTGATATACAATGATAGATTACAATAGAAAGGAACAGAATAAACAAGCTCTGAGAGGCAGCTGTAATGCAAGAACAGAGCAGTACATTACTGGCCAAATCATCGACCACTGGTTTAGTGATCACTCCTCTCACTTTGCACAAAAAGATTACTGCTGCCACCATGTGGTACAGACTGGCCAGATGTCTAAGAGCAAACACTAACCCATCAAATTCATAATCTGCATTAAAATAAGGCCCTTGTACTCCCTTCAAGTTAGTATTCAACCTAATTTTCATGTAGATTCCCTAATAATACTTCAAAATTACAGAGAATCTCCACTTTAAAATTGCAGAGAATCATTCTAGACTCCATACAGTACCACCAGAACACAACATTTTAACTGTCAAGTGGTGCCATACAAGGTTCTGCATTGAGTGAAGATCTTTCTAGGGTCAGCAATATTCTAATAGGTGGAACAACCACTCTATAATCATAATCCTTGCACTTGATATAGCGCTTTTCACGTCTTCTAGACGCCTCAAAGTGCTGCACAGAATAACCCTAACTATAAAGTAAATTGACTGCATCTTTGTGGGCGAAACACGGGAGCCAATTGCACACAGCAGTGTCCCACAAACAGTCGTGGATTGAAGTGACCAATTTATTTATTTATTTTTTCTTGAGGGATTATTATTAGGTGTGTGGAGTAAGAAAACTTCCCCAAGGTTTCGGCCTGCTGGGAATCAAACCCAGGTCTCTCGCTTGCTCTAACCACTGAGTTATAGAACTATGGTGAATATATTGTTCATTGACACAGGATTACTAACGGCCACTAACCATACTCTTCAGTAAGTGATATTTCTTAGATATCCTAATTTTTTTGTAACAAAACTTGAAATTATAGCATCTTTCATGTTAGAAAACATACCAAAGCGCTTCACAAAGAGATGAGGTGGGGTCCCATGCAGGATGGGAGATGGGGGAGGTGGAGTTAATAAAGAGGGAGCTCAAAGAGTAAAAGGAAGATGACTAAAGAAGCCGTAATCAAAAACACAAGGTTTTTAGAAAGGTTTTGAAAGCTGAGGGAGGGTGTGAGGCAAAGTGATTTGGGGAGAGAATCCCAGTAAGCAGTATTCAAAGTGGCTGAAAGCTTATCCTACTGATGATGTTGGATAGAGAGGACATTGAACTTGCAGCACGCCTGAGTTAGAAGAGCAGAGTGGGCGGAGAAGTACAGGAGTCACAGAGATCAGGTGGACCAAGTGTATGCAGGCACTTCAAAGTTAGAATGAGGATCTCGGTGGGGAACAGGGAACCTGTGGAGCCTGACAAGGATGAGGTGGAGGGGTGAAGAGAAAAGATGATGATATACAGTATTGGTAAAGAAACAATAAAGGCTGCAGAGTTCTAGATGATCTGTAGCTTGTGGAGAACTCAGCTGGGAAGCCCAGCAAATAAACAACCCCACAAAAGATTGTTTAAAAAAACTTATTTAACTGAAATGCTTTTTAGTTTCAATCAATGTCATTGAGATTCCAGTTTACATTCAATTACCAAATCAGCCAATGGCCCATCTGGTCACTGGACCTCAGGAATCATCTGCATCATGCTGAATAATCATCATCTCTGTGCCAAGCTGACAGATACAAGCTGGCTTAACCAGCTCTAAGCCACAGCGACCTGTCAGCTATCATCTCATCGTGGCAACTCAAGCTGCTGGCAGTGCTTAAGCACACTGACTATGTATACACAGTATTGCCTGTGTACAAGGTGCATACTTCCATTCAGAATATGGCATGGCAGTTACTGCAATTCTAACTTTGAAGTGCCTGTGTATCAGAATGGTGAAGAATAATTTTTAACTGAACATAGCAAGAGATGATGGAGGAAAACAATAAAAAGATTGTCAGTTACATTAAGAGAAAAAGAAAAACGAGAGATGGAATATGGCCATTGAAGGTGGGATCGGGTGAGGATATGACAAATGATGCTACACAAGCTGCAGAAGTACTAAATCAGTTTTTTTTAGTAAAGAGATGGAAAATGTATTGGATATGGAAAGCGAACTCAATGGTGTTGCAGAGGCAAGTTGTGACACAATACATATCACTACCAGCATGGTTGCACAACAACTGTGCAAACATAAGGTAAACAAATCCCAAGGACCAGATAAATTGCATCTGAGGATCCTTAAGGAACTAAGGGAGTAAATCGGAGGAACTCTGACACAAATCTTTCAGAAATCACTGGATAGCGGAGAGGTGCTTGGGAACTAGAGAAAGGCAGATGTTACTCCTATTTTTAAAAAAGGTAGCAAAAGTGACCCAAGAAGCTACAGACCAGTGAGTTTGCCGTCCATTGTGGGTAAAGTTATGGAGACTTATTAAAAATAAGATCGTGGAGCATCTGGACAGTAATAAAGTGATAAAAGATAGCCAATAAATATAGCCAGTAAAGGGAGATCCTGCCAAACTAATTTACTTGTTTTCTTTGATTGTGTTACTAAGGAGCTTGATAAAGATAAGGCAGTGGATACTGTATTACAGTAAGGCCTTTGATACAGTTCCTCATGAAAGGCTGCTACTGAAAATAAAGAAAGCAGGAATCAGAGGAAGTATCTTGCAATGGATACGTAATTGGCTGATCGATAGAACCCAGAAGGTGGTGGTACAGGGAATGTCATCAGACTTGGAGAATGTTACCAATGGAGTTCCATAGAAGTCCATTTGGATCCTCTTTTATTTAACATCTTCATAAATGACCTGGAACTCTTTTATTTAACATCTTCATAAATGACCTGGAACTAACATCTTCATAAATGACTTGAGAGGATACAGAGGAGGGCAACCAAAATGATTGAGGGGGATGGAGGGACTGGACTACGAGGTGCCATTAGTCAAAGAAAACAAGTAAATTAGTTTGGCAGGATCTCCCTTTACAAACCCACATTGGCTATCTTTTATCATTTCATTGCTGTCCAGATGCTCCACAAGCATAGTGGCTAAATTTGCAGATGACACAAAGCTAATGAAGGTCGTAGACTGCAAAGATAAACAGAATAAGGATACAGGAGGACTTGAACATTCTTGGGAATTGGGCAGATCGATTTCAGATTAAATTGATTGTAGAGAAATGCAAATTGCTTCACATGCGCGCAAAAAAAATCTAGGAAGGGACTATTATTTAAATGCTAAGAAAATAATCTGTACAGAATATGAAAAGAACCTGGGGATCCTGATTGATAATAAATTGAAGCAATCGCAACAGTGCTCGGCGGCAGTGAGTAAGATGCTGGGCTGCACTAAAAGGGCAATATTGAGCCCAAACAATGGGGTAATCCTGCCACTTTATAAATCACTGGTGCAACCCCACTTGGAGTACTGTGTGTAGTTCTGGTCACCGCAATATAAAAGCGATGTTACAGTGATTGAAAGAATACAGAGAAGGGCAACCAAAATGATTGAAGGGATGGAGGGACTGAACTGCGAGGAGCGATTAGATAAACTGGGCATGTTCACACTGAAGAAGAGAAGGTTGAGGGGCGAAATGATTACAGTCTTTAAGATTCTGAAGGGAATAGATAATATAGACCATGATAAGCTGCTGTATCTTGCACTGAATAGTAGAACCAGAGGACACGGCCTGCGATTGAAGGGAGGGTAAATTAAAAACAAATCTGCGGAAACACTACTTCAGCGAGGGA